GAACAAAGGTTGGAGAGTTTAGAGTGGAGAAACGTACCTAGGATTGCACTCTGTGTGCGTGTGCGTGCGTGCATGTGTGTGTAAAGTGCCATCTAGTTGCCGCCTACTTATGGCGACTCCAGCAAGGGGCTTTCAATGCAAGTGAGAAGCAGAGACGTTTTGCCATTGCTTCCCTCTGTGGTCTCCCTTTCAGGTAGCTTCCAAGATCTGATGAGATCGGGCGATGCATACCATGCCACCTCCCTCCCGGGATTGCAGTGTAAATGCAGCAAAAAGTCAGAAGCTTAGGGTACCCGCTGCCAATGATCCCTCTAAGCTATAGAGTCTTGTGACCAAAAACTTGACTTTGTGAGCTACTGGCATTAAAGTTGTGAGCGAGTGATTTGGCTACTGCATGAATTAGTTTGCTCTGGAGCCATGCTTCCTGAGCTGTGACATAAATGTGTGAGCTGAAGGCTCAAAAACTGTGAGCTGGCTCACACTAACTCAGCTTAGAGGGAACACTGCCCGCCACCCCCACACACTAACAGCCCCACCATCGAGTCACAAATGCAAGGGAGAAGACCTTAGATATTCCTATCTAAGCATTCCTCTCTTACCTGTTCTACCTCTGGGAATGTCGGGTTCTCGATGGACTGGATGAAGGTAGAGACCGCTTGAGTCTGGTCTCTTATATACACCTATGCAACCAGCCGTGGAAAAATACTGGCTAGAGAAGAAAGGAGCACAAATGTGGGTTCAGGGAGGGGGCTGTCTTTCAATCAAGATCAGGGGAATCCCCCAGGTAACAAGGGAAAATGGATATTTCTTTCTTTTGGATTTCTATATGGAATAGAAGTGCCGCCTTTGATAAGAGAATCCATTGCAGGGAACAACGGCTCTCCTGGACTTTTTTTTTTAGTCCATTAATGCTCAGAAGTGAAGGTGATAAGATGAAAGGTGGAATGCTTGTGGTTCTGCCATTGTTGACCGCCCCGCCCCCCTTCTTGGCTACCTGCCCTCTCCCCCTCCCCAATGTTGCCCAGCAGCTGCAGGTGGTTTCTGAGAAGAGGAGAAGCAAGAGGGAGTTTTACCCTTTCCTTTCCTGACATTGGTCTTACTCAAAATGGGACAGGAACTTTTGCCACTGCAAAGGAAGAAAAGAGGCAGGCAAAGAGAAAGAGACTCTCTTTCCTCCCCTTACAAGAGGCGCCTTCACACACACTACTTTCAATCCACTTTGCGACTGGGGCTGATTCTGCACCCATCTGTTTCCTCGCGGTTTTTCCACATCCACATCAGGAGGCTCATCTCCCTCTACACCTTTTCCTTCCTCCGCTTCCGATCTGAAGGAAACACTAAGCAGACAACTTGACACGGCTTCGTTGATCGCTCTTCGTTCCCCCGCCCCTATTTCCCCCTTTGTATTTATCACCTCACCATGAATTACTTGGCTCAGGTGCCTCATGACCGCTGAGGCAAGTACTGACACAGGAAAAATCTGCATACCAATTGATACGGTTGCCAGCCTCCAGGTGGGGCCTGGAGACCTCCCACTTTCACAACTGATCTCCAGCTGACAGAGAGAGGCTCCCCTGGAGAAAACGGCTGCTTTGGAGGGGGGACTCTATGGCATTGTGCCATGCCGAGGCCCCTCCCCTCCCCAAACCCCGCCCTTTCCCGGATCCACCCCCAAAGTCTCCAGGTATTTTCCAATGTAGACCTGACAACCCTACCACTGGGCAACAGCTTCAGCAGGTTCCTCACCTTATGCCCATCAGTTGCGGGGACTTCACATAAGCCAAGATGCAGACAAAGAGGACTCAGCACCTGGGGTGCATAAGAGAGCGATCCAGCTAAAGTCTTTATTGCTGTTCTCACTGGGGAGGATGGAGGTAAGGAGCCCTTGGCCAGGCCTAACATTGTGAAGCTGGAACACAAGACAGGGAGGTCGCTTGCCTTAGTGGGTCTGTGGATGTGTGTGAAGTTCTGTCAAGCTGAAACCGAGTTCTGGTGACCCCAATAAGGAGCTTTCAAGGCAAGTGAGGAGCAGAGGAGGTTTGCCATTGCCTTCCTCAGCAGGATCATCCTTGGTGGTTAGGGGTCTTTCCTGGGAGATAGAGTGGGTGCTCTTAAGAGCAAGATGGGAACCCCAAGCCCTCAGTTGTCTGTTTCCATTGCAGGGTCTCACAGACTTCTCTTGAATCCCCCCCTTACAGAAGGAACTTGCTAATATCATTTCCCCTTAGAGGTGTAAATATTTGACTGTGCAGGTCTGCCTGTTTTCTCCTTGGACTTTGGACTGCCACAAAAGGGGAGAGAGGACGGACCAGGCCTGGTGTTTCCCCAAATGGTGGAGGAAAGGTCATTGGTTCCGACAGATCTGCATATGGAATAAGAGGTCCACCTTGGCCAGAACGTGGATTTAAGTTTCAAGAATGTCTCTTTTGTGGTTTCTGTTTCTTGCTCGGCCTTCAAAAGTGGCTGCAGAGAGAATAACGGATCAATCCCAAGTCTGTTGCTCAATACAAGGCAGCTAGACGGAGTATTCCTATTATTCCCTGTGGTGGAATGGACCCACTCTGGCCTGGGGGCCCTGTTCCACCCGGCCCTCCAAGGTTTCCCCCAACACCTAGAGAGGCTTTTCTTTCTCTCTCGGGTAGCCACTGCCACCCCCTGGCCTTTGTGAGGAATTGCCCACTGGGAGGGTCAGGATTCCGAACTTCCCTTCCAAGTCAGCCTGGGACCGACATACCTGAGGGACTGCATTTCCCCATATGTGCCCCAGAGAGCCTTGCACTCTGCCGACCAAGATCTCTTGGTTGTCCCTGGCTCAAAGGACATCCACTTAGACTCCACCAGGGCCAGGGCTTTTTCTTCCCTGGCCCCGCCCTGGTGGAACATGCTCCCATGTGAGATCAGGGCCCTGCGGGACCTATTGCCATTCCACAGGGACTGTAAAATGGAGCTGTTCTGCCAGGCCTTTGGCTGAGGTGGTGGGCATCCAGTGAACAAGCTGACCTCCCCTGCTGAAGTTCACCATGTGGCCCAGAGCAAGTAGATCTCAGCAGGGGTCGTTTCGTAGAAAAAGAGCTAGGGGAACTCATTAGCGTAACTCATTAGCATATGCCACACCCTCTGACATCACCGGAAGTGTGTCATAAGGCCACACCCCCTGACATCACCGGAAGTGTGTCATAAGACCACACACCCCGCCCCCAACGGTCCCGGCC